GTTTATTAAATTAATTAATGCTCTATTTTAGGAAGATTAAGTTGATAAATATTTTTAAAAAATAATTTATGTACATCGATACTAGAATAAAAAATATTATCTAAATTACTACAAAATTCTAGAAAATCAACCCATTTTAATATATTTCTTCTTTTACCCCTTACCGTATTTTTCGGTGTATAAGCCCCTCTTTATAACCCCAAAATTTGATATCAAAATCTGCTTGCGTCCTATACACCGTATGTATATATACGATATACACAAGCTATGTCTAAATATATTTAAATAGGCATGCATAGTTCAGTTCAATTGAATGTGTTATTTATAACAATAGTAGTTTTTTTTTCTTTTAAAAACATAACTATTTATAATGCTCCCTAAATAATAAATAAATAAATTACAGTGCAAGCAATAAAGATTTTGTAGGTTTTGAACCACACTAAATAACAGTAAACCTTTTTTGATTTATGGTATTTTTCTTATTTTGATGTTTTGAGCTCTTTTGTGTTTATAACAATATATACTAATTTTTAAAGTATCAAACTGAATTTTTGTTCAATAAAAATCTTTCAGATGCAACTGTAGCTTTTTTCCCCCCAAAACTTTGTCTTCAAAATAAGGGTGAGTCTTATATTCCGAAAAATACAGTATTTTCTTACTTTTATGAGAAAAGCTATCTATAAAGAAAAAATTAGCGATACAGTAATCATTACTCAAATTCAAAGCAGTATAATTATTAAAATGTTTTTAATTTCAAAATATAGAAGCTCTCTCATTGAAGTATATTGGTTTCTTCAATAAACATTCTAATATAGTTATCTTAACAGAAGTAAAAGGATGAATTCTAAAATGGTTTAATTCTATGGAATTCATTAAACTGTTTTTAATTTGAGATCTATGCAAGTTTATATGTATATGTAATGGATTTGAAGTTTGACCCACATATTCCATATTATATTCAGTACAAGTTAATAGATAAACTACATTATTTATTTTGCAGAATGAATTTGTATGAGTAATAGGATGAAAAGTATTTAGAATAAGACACGTGAGACATCATTTGGTATTATATGTTATAACATTAGCAGAAGTATAATTACTGTAATCAGCTCGCTAGGCTAAATTATAGTTGACACAATTTGTCTATCAGTTAAGACAATGACACTTAACTACATAAAGATTGAACAATTTCTAAGAGCAGTTTCTAATGTTTCTGTGGACATGTATGTCACAACTGTTTTAATTTTAATACTTAGTAATACTTATTCTTAGTAAACTAAACAATATCAAATAATCTTTAAAATTAATTCTTTTTTCTTTTTCATGTAAAATTAATACTTTGTATATCTACTTGATACTATTTTCATATCCTTTCTCAAAAACACTTACACTTTTTTATTATCAGTTCACTGAGAAATATTGAGTAAAAAATATGATGTACACAAAGATTTACTGGGTATTCAAATTCAAAATAAAATGTTCCAAACAGTAACTATAGAAATTATGTTATGTATAAACTGTTTACTCAAGATAATGTAGCTTTCTCACCTTGTTTGATTCAGCAACTTGTTTCTTTGAAAAAAACTCAGCTTCAGATCGAATTTTTTCTCGGGCCAAATACATGCGGTCTGGAAAAAAATAATTAGACTTAACTTTCTATGTGATTAAAAATTGTGCAGTCAAAATTGAAAAAACAAATCTTATATATATTGCAAAACATGTTTAAGCATTTGTCTGTCTCCAATTTGAAAAGCTATGCATGCATGCAAAGCTCAACATTCACTTTTGAAATGATGGGAGAACAGGCATGAATAATGTTGGTGCCAAATTTTATTTTGCAAGCAGGATATTCTACACTGAATTGTTAGGAATTAATCACTATCATTCACATTTTAAAATGTGATGTAACTTAAAGAATAAAAATGTAGATTTACTGTATGTTATTGATGAGTGGCTCTTAGCATGACTGAAATGCTCAACAATTACTATTCATGGTTGGTGGTATAAGTAGCTCAGGGCTTTGGCTCTGAGTGAAACGAAAAGTGCATCACAATTAACCTTTTTAAGGTCCATGAAATAATTTAAATTGATAGATTACCTTAAAACTTTTCCTGTCATTGGGAACAGGTACTTTTTCTAGATTAACTTAATCTTTTCCCATCATTGGGGATGGGTACTTTTGCATCTAATAATAATAATAAGTTGAACACAAAATCCATAGCATGTTCTGGTATATTCAAGTACTTGACAAACTAAACAATCAGCTATTTCAACTGTAAAACAGTCTTCTCTTACCATCTTGAATGGCTTATTTTAACTTACACACTACTAGATTCTATAGCACAGAATATAAAATATTCCATTCTCTTTATCACTTAACTTATACAACACTTTTTTATATTCTACACACAGAAGGCAAAATATGTATCAGTCCCATTATATTTAACTTACACAACACATTATCATATTCTATATCAAAATATGTATCAGTCCCTTTACCATTTACCTTTCATAATACATTTCTAGATCCTATAGCACATAATACAAGATATTTCACTCCCTTTACCACTTAACATACACAACGCATTACTAGATTCTGTAGCATTCTCAGAATACAAAATGTTTAGCAGTAACTTTGCTGTTTTTTCACAAATACTTAGTTGTCCTTAAAATAAACATTCATGAGATTTTTAGTTGTTCTGATACTGATTAAACTTGCCCAAGGATTCAATCCAGTAACTCATAATAAGCACTTAACATATACCATTTTGTTAGTTTGTAATTAAGTACAAAGCTACACAATGGGCTATCTTTGCTCTGCCCACCACGTGTATCAAAATCTGGTTTTTACCACCGTAAATTCGCAGACATACCACTGTGCAACTGGGGGCTATATACCATTTTGTATTCAGAAATGTTGTTACTTATATCTGCATTAAAAAAACAGGAAGAAGTTGGAAAAATTTAATGGAATTGCTATATTATTATCACATTTGTTTTACTGTACGTAGATATTTGAAAAATTTATGTGCAGTGTCAAATACATAAGGTTACCATTGATAAAGTAATTAAAAATAAATCTGTCAATAATATTTATGTAAAAATTATTTGCTGATGCTATAATGCTTCCAGTTTCATACTGCTCAGTAGTATATACATGCAACAATTGCCTTTTATTGACTTAACATTTTTAGTTTCATGCTAATAAGTGCTAATTGTGTAGCAATTGTCTTCTATTGATTTAAAATTTTTAGTTTCATGCTAATAAGTGCTAATTGTGTAGCAATTGTCTTCTATTGATTTAACATTTTTAGTTTCATGCTAAGAAGTGCTAATTGTGTAGCAATTGTCTTCTATTGATTTAACATTTTTAGTTTCATGCTAATAAGTGCTAATTGTGTAGCAATTGTCTTCTATTGATTTAACATTTTTAGTTTCATGCTAATAAGTGCTAATTGTGTAGCAATTGTCTTCTAGTGTTTTAACATTTCTAGCTTCATGCAAGTGGAAATTGCATAATAATTGTATGCTAGTATTTTAACATTTCCAGTTTCACATTGGCTAATGATACTTGTGTATCATTTTTCTACTATCTTAACATTCCCAGTTTCAAATCACTTAGTGACGTTTATATAATAACTGTCTGCGTGTTAAAACACTTTGCGTTCCCTGTTAGTGATACTTATGTAAAAATTACTTGCTAGAGTTTTAACACTTTTGTATCAATCTTTCATAAAAACAGCTTTTCTATACTATGTATTCTGAGGACAAAAGACAAGCTTAATATATGTGAAAGTATTAGTTTGCCCTCTTCTCATTGTCTGTTGAGCAAGCACGAGTTATTTTTGGTTTTTATTTTATTAAGAGATATACAAATCAGCAAGTCTTGACCTCACACAGTAGTCCTGAATCACAAGTTGAAGTTATTCATTAAATTTCAAATATGGTTTAAATCACATATTTCAATTATCATACTTTTATATTCTAAAGCCCACAAAGATATTTCACATATTGGTCTGCATCGTGTATTTCAGTAAGTCTACCTTGCATATCTCAGCTAAGTTACAAACTAAAGAAGATATGGAAGATATTTCTTGCATCATCAACTTGATGACAGAGTGACCACAAAAAAACTGCTAACTAAGGTAAGCAAACAAGCATGTTATTAAATACAGGCAAATGTAGGCCACAAGAACTACTTGTTTTGTGGAACTTTTTCTTGAAATAGAAAAGACTGGTTAAGCCCAGGAAATAAAAAAATGCAGCCAGCTTCTCCATCGCATAAAACAACAAATAGATGACAATAAGGTGGGCATATTTCCCTGTACAGCTTTTTTACAATCTTTACCTCAGATAACTACTACTCATTCAATCAACAGTGAAAAAATTCAAGAACCTGCAATTTAAAGAATAGGTTCAACAGCTCACCAATATGATGAGAGTTATTGTTGATAAATCAAGAAGACAATCAAAGCTCAAAGAGGTACTTGAAGGAAGCCTAAAAAAAACATATAATTTTCATAACGGGATATCGATAAACGAAATTGTTCTAGAACTTTAGTCAAGCAAAGCACAATTTTACAAGTAATTTTTACCAATTAAATTGTATACAAAAAATTTTATACTACATACATTTTGTACATAATGCAAAATAATGTACCATCTTTAAATGTTTAATTATGTAGACTCTAAATGTAAATTGGAATTCTTTATAAAAACTTTTACAATTTTTTATTAAAAAATAATTAAATTATTATATAAAATTAGGTAAATGATATGTAATTCAAAAAAAAAATTACCTTCTATTTCAGACATTTTTCTCAAAGATTCTTTTTCTGTGATCTTTTGATCATACTGAATTTTGGAGACTTGAGCTATTTTTTCAGCCTCTATAAAAAAAAGGACAAATTTTTATGTAATACATGAAACACAAGTGAGTAAAAACAGAAAACCAAACATAATCACAAGACTTTTTCTGATCTGAGGGTATAATGTTTACATAGTTACAGTAGGGGACATATCTCATCTACACCAATAAATTACAAAAATATTACTTTAAAAGAAAAACTAAAAATTTCCTCTAAGATGTCTGACCTTAAATAACATAATTAATGCAAATTGTTCTTTTGAATTGTTGAAACAAAATTGTAAGGTGTATTAAGAATTGAAATGAGCATGAATACACAAGTACAAGACCCAAAGCTTAGGATGTGAACTCAAACTTGTCATATTTTGGATTCCAAAGACATACTATGCAATTAAGGGCACTGATTTGCTACATTAAGTAAAATTGTAAAAGTAAAATTCCTGCAGAAAATTGTGGGCACAAAGTTAGAACTTATAATGATCTACTTTATACTTTCCAGAACAATAATGTTTGAAGATTGTGGTAAAACATAGCACTGACTTTATCTTATTTGTGAATTTTAATGACAATTTTATGATCAGCTTAAGAAGTGTACATAGTGTAATGTTGTTTAGTACTTGTTTATGTAAAGGGAAACAACAGCATTGTTACTACCACGCTATTAATTCTGGTTTTAACCGGATCTTGGAGTAAAATGTACAGAAAGTAATAATAAGTGGAAAATGTTGAAAGTACAACAACAACTGATTATACAGTTTTCTCCTATTTAACTCATCTTCTTAAAGTGAAAATTTGGACAATTTAGAGAAACTATTATGTTGTTTTATACGTTATATGGATTTCATATTTTACAGTAATTAATCAATGATTCTTTTTGTTCAACAAACACCTGAGTGATACTATGGATATACAAGTTGTAACATTAGTCTTTGGAGTATGAGTTACAAGAAGTTTTTTTTCAAGCACAAAGCCACACAGCAGGCTGTCTTTACTGTGTCGTCCATGTGTATTGACCCACCCAAAGGTCAGCATTATAAGTCCACACTTACCACTGAGAGATAGATTTTGGAAGGAAGTATCTATGCAATGTTTGAGTGTAAAGTATGTCATACAATAAGGTACTTCAATAAAGATAAGATTCTGAAATCAGTGAATTATTATGAAATTTAAAAACAATAAACAAATTGCAGCCAAACAAAATACTCAGACACCTAAGTAATTTTATCAAATATAGTACAATTTTGCTACTTTATATCAGAATAAGTTCATTTATAAGAAAATATCTGTCTCTATCATTTCTACTAGTACTCTAATTATGCAATAGTTCAGATAAAATTACAAGAAGACAACATTTATTTTAAATACTACTCTCAAACCTTGTCCAATCAAATTTTTGTAAGTCAACTTCAAAGGATTCCCATATTTTTAGAAAATGAAATTATCACCATCATAAAACAACAGGCAGGGCTTAAGTCAAAACCAAATATAATTCCTTAAGTTAAGAAAAAACAATATGGGCAATGAGGTTTTTGTTTTTTCATTTCTTATGTAAATGTTAAACTGTTTCAATTTTGAATCTTGGAAGTTTTTCCAAATTATTTTATTAATAGAAAGTGTACAGACATACTGCATCACTGAAATGATCATTTGTTTATATTAGAGCAAAGCCACATTGGGTTATCTGTTGTGTCCAACACGAAGACTCGAACCACAGATTTTAGTGCTGCAAGTCTGTAAACTTATCAATGTCCCATCGGGGACATCACTGAAATGATACTTGAAATGGAAAGGAACAACACTATTTTAAAAACCCACTTTTTGGTTCTATTCTTAGAAACATCACTGGGGTAATGGTTTTATATGACATACTTCATACTTCAACAGAAAAAGGTATTTATAATAAATGTTACTGAAAGGCTTAAATCAAACAGAATCAAAGATAACATCATAATTATGGTATTCACAATGATATACTTAATCATTATAAAATTCTTACTGTAGATCTTTTAGGACACAGATGTATCAAGCAACTTGTACATCGAATATCATAACCTTTAAATCAATCTGTTCAATGTATAACTTACCAATCACAGCTCTCTTTCTATCAGTTTCAGCATCTTTTTCAACTACTTTCTGTTTCTGTTCTGCAATTAAAAGTTTGGTCTTCTCTGCTTCCCTAAAAGAATGGGAGCAATAACTTGAGATGTATATATATATATATATATCTAGTGAATGAAACAATGTCCTGTTTTACTTCTTCTGAGGTACAGTCTCATTTTGTTTGAGGTACGATTTTTAGTGAACAAGTATCCTGTTGTCTATATTTCTTTTAAACTATTATTTTACAAGTCTGTGTGTGTTTGTCTGCTTATAACTGGCAAACCATTGGATCAGTTGTTACCAAACCTGTCATGTATGTTTTGTGCTCCCTGGAGAGATATGTGGGAAGAAGGGGAGTACTTAGATCTCCAAATTAAATTTGTAAAATATGGTCACCTTAGGTTATGATGAAACCAACTAGTTATTCTTGCAGCACCTTGTCAGTATCCATCACTTCATCCTGAGAGTTACCCCATTTCAAATACAAGAAAAGTTGACGGCTGTCACATAATGCTCTAAAACTAAATAGGATGGTACCATATACAGAGTAACTCAGAGACAATGCACTACTGAAAAACCTTATTAATTAGATATCATTTAACAGCAGTATTATTTGGAGACATTTAAATTCCAAAACCTAAACATATTTCTTTGCACAGAAGCTGAAATAAATAATAATGTCATAAGCTAAAATATCTTAATCACCACCATTTGACTTTAAATAGAACTTTAATCTTGTGAAGACACTATACTAAATATAAGCTAATTGTCAAGATGGGAACCATCTTACAAAATAATGATCCAAAGTTCATATTAGGACCACTTTATATACTCTATCAATCTGTTGTTAATAAAGTACATCTGACATTATCTCAATCAATTAATCTTTTTTTGTAACCATCAGATAAAATAAAATTGAATTCTTACATTAATTCATAGTTTTTTCTGATAGTTTCAGGTATTTTTGGTTTTGTGACTCGTACAGCCTGAACATACAATCCTGGTGCCATGATAACAAGGTCTCCTTGTAGTGCTGTCCTGAGGTTTTCATCAATCTGATCTGTGGATGGAGTAAAACGTACAAAAAAGTCTTTAATTAAAAAATTACAGGACATGGAAATTTTAAATTTCAACATTGTACATGTGCAATATATTTTTTATCATAAAATTATGTTAGTCTACAAGCAGACAATGTACTAGAAACTTAGATATGTATCTCTTTTCAGAAATTTTGGCAAGAAATTAGTGTTACAAAACTATTTACATTCACTAATTGACATGAAAATATTTTTTCTACATACATTACTTATTTTTTTATTACAAGCTTAGGAAATAGCAATTAGCAACAATGAGTTTTAACATTTCCTTACTAGCTTAATAAATATTTATAATCTAAAAAGTAATAAAACTGAGACTAATAGTGGGTTCCTTTAACTTTCAAATGATTTAATAAATGTTAATCTTAACCAAAGAAAACTGATATTTTGAGAACCTTAGCTACAGAGCTTCAACATTATATGAAATACAAAAGCAAACTTTACATGAAGACTCTTTAATATTCTATACATTTCAAGAAAGAACCAATAAAAGTTTACTTTTTTACTTTATAAGACAAAAATATAAATAAAAGAAGTGTAGTAAAAGCCATAGAGTTATGGTAGAAGTATTTAAAACAAAGCTAGAACATCAAACAAAGTAATTTTGATTATACTAGTAATTATACATTTTAAGAAATTTTGACAAAAATTATGAAATTTATGAATAATCAGAAAAAAAAATATATATATATATATAGACACACACACACACATATATATATATATATATATATTCCAATAAGGAAAACAAATAACCCAAAAGAAAGCTTTAAATGACAAACTTCTGGAAATTAAATAAAGGAAAAATGGCACAGATTACAAAACTCTAGACTTCTCCATCAACCAATGAAGATAACAGAGAAACCAAGATCAGAAGATTGTTGACTCAGTCAACCAGAAGTCATGGATTATGAAACCAACAGAGAAAACAAAGTAGAGAAAGACAAACTTTTAGACAGGAATTAAGAATAATTTTAGATTTCCCTGGTAGAATGTCTTAAAATTTTAAATCTATCTAGTAAATCATTACACAAGAATGAAATTAAATTATTAAAAAAAAGACCTTACTTTTACTTCTTGTTATAACTTCAAACTTAGAATTATTTCAAGATCTGTATGAATTCAATAGGAAATTGGGCTTATGAGAATAGTTTCAGGATAAGGCAAATGTCTTTTAAGATTAAAATATGGCTTGGAACCAAGTGGTTTGTTCTGCAAAGAGATTTACATTTCGTATGTCTCTTAAACCCTTTCAAAAAGATAATACTATCAAGAATAAAATAGTAACTCTATAAAACTTAGCATTTATTTGTTTCAGAAATTCTTAAGCAAAACTATACAAAAAACTACCCGTATAGCCATCTATAATTTTGACTTGAGAAACTAGAGGGAAAGCAGCTAGCCAAAATTACCCACTACCAACTCTTGGGGTATCCCTGTCTGACCAAGTAGTGAATCTTATCATCGCTCTTATAACACACTCATGGCCCCAAGGTGCAGTGTGTATGTTTTTGCAGCAACAGGCAACAAAACATGAAGTCTTGGATTCACAGTCCAAGCACACTAACACCAATAGGCCACTATAAAACCTGAGACTGGAAAGATGTCAATCTATGATAAAATTGCTTTAGATTACTTGTTAGAATCCATCACTATCAAAAAAGTAATGAAAATAAACAATGCTTAGTGAAAAACATTAAAAAATAATTATTAGACTATACTAACAATTTCAACAGTTGTTTTACTAATAATAAGAGCAATATGTTTTGAGCATACAGAGTAGATTTGGGGAATTCCTACGTGCTACCTAAGTCAAGTAATTCTGCAGTCCTATAAAAAATTTTGCAAATTAACCAGCAGAGTATTTATGATTAAAAGAATCAAAAAAATTTGTAAGACCTATTATTGTTTGAATTTAAAAAAGCATGTAACCACTTAACAATGTTTTAAATGTTATTTTCAAAATTTAGTTAAAATGTACAACTATATTAGAGAGGATAATGATTGTTAAAAAGTTACCTAAAATATAGGGTCAAACCATTTTTAACTACAAGCACATGTATTCCACGAGTTCAGATTGAAATCTTATTGAATTATTTTTAAGTCATTTAAATTTTTAATATTCTTTCAAACCAATTTGGAAATGGTGTGTGATATTTAAAATTACTACTTTGTAATTTGGGATACTGCTTTTGCTATAAAATTTACTTTTGAAATAACAGATGTTTAAAATTTCATGAAGTTTAGACCAAGATGGCAAAAGTAGAGTACTGGTTGCTAATATTTATCATACTTTAACAAAATCCAACCAAAATCTGTGGCAGGAATTTAGGTTTAAAATATCTATCAAGCCTCAAAGAAAATTTAGGGCCTAAAAGACAACCTGAGATGCTCAGAAACGTTTGTTCATTTTCACCTCACATATGAAAAAGTTAAAGGCAAATGAATTTGGACGAAGTCTCTGGGCTTAATTTTATTGAAACACATTGAATGAGAGGTTGCGAGACGTGAAGAGACATGGAAGATACCGACCCAATCCTTTCTAGAAAGCTGTGAAGAGACCGTCATGAGGTATTCAGAGTCGAAGCATGTGTATCTGTTGTTACATGTGACAATGACGTCAGCTGGAAGTGAGTAGTCGAGTGAAAAAGGGAGAAGCATATAGAAAGACGGACTTTTATAGCAACTGCCCTACACATACACTAAGTTTAATTTTTCTGTTTGCTTACTGTTTAGTGCAAATAATTTATTACCTTTTATCAGAATACTTGGGAGGAGGAGGCAACTAGTAGAATTCAAAATTTTTAAAAGATTGCCATTACCCAGTTAATAATATTAAAGATTGAGTATAGCTAAGAATAAGTTAAATAAACTTGTGTTGCAGAAGATAAACTATTATTCCTCTAGTTTGTATTCACTTCTAAAGTACTCAAGTACATGTTAAATATATTAAGAACTGACAGCCTATTGATACCTCAAGTATACTTTGTCAAGAGGAAAGCCTGAAATTCTGTGTACTGTTTAATATTAAAGAAAAATGATTAAGAAAATAAATTTTTATTTATAATAAATAACAACAACAAAAAAAAAAAAGCAGTTATGAAAAAGTATCATGTCCCAACAGAAAATTTTTATTTTGTATTACTGCAAGATTCACTTCATGTTCTTTATTCTTTTACTTGGCAAATTTCTGGAGAAAAAAATTTAAAAGTAACTGCTACTCTTTAGTTAAGAATATATACAAGTTTACATAAATTTGAAATCCTTGAATAAGCCCAATATACCAGACAAAACTAGTTATCATAACTGTGTTTTTATGAAAAACTTAATTTATCCTCTTTTGTTTTGTAATAATTAAAATTTATGTCTATTCTATGAAAATTATTTTTAGTTAAAAAGTTTAGAAATGACACTCAAATAAGAGGAAGTGGTTCAAAAATATACTTTTCAATAACTTAACAAAAGTCACAAAATATATGACAATTTATACATTACTATGTGTAGAAAAACCATAAAAAGAGCAGCTCAAGGTTGTCCCTAACAAAACTTGAAGAACACTTTAAAATTTAGTTTTACAGCTATATGTTATATTAAAGAAATAAGTTATATATATATATATATATATATAAATTATTATTATCTGGAGAGTAAATGTCTTTGTTTACTAGCTTTATTTCCAAGATGTCTAAATCCTTTTAGTAAACATTACAAATTCTGAAAAACAATAAAACTAGTTCACTCTTTTTACTGAAGTTGAAATAAAAATATAAAACAAAACTAAAAATTAAAAGAAAAAGACTTACACTTTCATTTTATCTATATGAAGTATAGGTAGTTATATTTGGTTTGATTATATCAAAATATTAATTCGTGTAGTACTTAAATGTTAGTCAAAATGTCTACATATATAGTTACAAATCCATTCTTTCTTACCAAATAAATTAATGTAGACTTCATGAAGATTGTGAGCACTGCAGAACTGATTCAGTTCATGATGAACTTTATTGAAGATTAATGTTTTATCATAGTCTGCTGTGTAGTTCTTGACAATGTCATACACTACAAATGAAAAAAAAAAACAACATTTAATACATTATACTGGTGCTAATGATTATAGAACTTTGGTTGCTGTTTTGAATATTGTAAATAACAACAGAAAATGAAAAACACTCATATATTTTGTGAAAACAATTATTAACCAGTATTTTACAATATTATTACAGATAATTCTTTAAGTTTTTTTTTTTAGAAATAAAAAGTATTTCCTTTACAAAATATGTAGTGTACTTTTTGCATAGCACATATGATTAGGTACAGATTCATAATTTCTATTTAATCTTTGGTTAAAGGATGTCACAGTAATAATTTATTGTTAGCTGCAAAATTCTACAATGGGCTATCTGCCCACCATTGATATAATAACGTGATTTTTACCATTATAATCTCTCAGACTATCTGTTGACCAAAATGGGGATATCACAATAATTCTGATGTTTGTTTTCATTTAAGAACAAAGCTGCACAATAGGCTATCTCTGCTTTGCTCACTGAAGGGATGGAACCCTGAATCTTAGCATTATAATCCCTCAAAGTTACCACTGAGCCATCAGGAGAGAGACTGATATTAAAAATATAATATCTTATTTTCTTATTTAAGAAAGCACATAGATCACAGATAAAACACTATTGAAAATTCTATTTCTTTTTCACTTTAACTTAGTTTTTTTAGATCAACCAAAAATTAAAATCTGAATATACTTTGGAGTCTGGAAGTTGAAGCATTTAATTTCAGAGCAAAACTTTACTAAGTCAACTGAAAACCATTAACATGTTTAGCAGTAAGTTTAATCAAAGAGAAATTGCAACGTATTCTTACAGTAATGTATAGCTAACTTGTGTAAACAAAAGAATAGTGTGGGTGAGGAAACACTCACCCAAATTATAATAAGTTTATTAATGAATACAAAAAAAATGTTTCAGGCAACAGCCCTTCACTGAGTTCCCAATGTGGAGAAAACTGGTTATAGAGGAGATAGGGTAATCATATAATCATGTACACTACATGTAACACAATTCAAACATCTTTAATATGCACAACCATATTTGTCTATTTCATAAAGTAATAAAGAACTCACATTTGGTAAATTTGAGAGAAAATGATAATGAATTTGTAAACATAATCTGTACAAAACAAGAAAATCACAAACACAGATTTTGTAAAAAATTTAAATTATAATATATAAACTTTACTTGACTCTTATTTATAATTCCGTAGTCTGACTCAGACACATTTTGTGAAAATATCATATATTACAAGGAAAAGCTGACAGTATTGTTTATTTTAGAATAAATTTATTATATATGTTCTCTTTTCAATTAAATTTCTCATGCAACATTAGTATTAGACCTATTACATTTTTAAACACTAGTTTCTAAATCTAGTCCTTAGGGATTTTCAAGAATTAGAGGAGTGTATAATAATAGTATTCAAACCCCACCATATTTGTCATATGCATTACTAACAATGTGTTTCACTCAATCCAGAGTTTTCAGGCTGGCTGGGATACAACAAACACAGAAGAATACTATTCATATAAGTTATTTGATACAGTAATAGTAGTTATAGAGTGTACACTTTTTACAAGCCACTGAAGAATGATTACAATTTTTGTCATAAGACATTAGTATTAGGCCTATTACATTTTTAAACACTACATTTTACTACGTGAGAAAAACATCAAATGTAGATATATTACCTTATAATTTTCATAAAAACAAGTTTGTAATCAAATGTATAGATTTTATTGATTCAAATGACAGTAAAACAAAACACATAACATAAAATATGCATTATGCTGTATGGCAGGTACATGTACCCTGTTTTTACAAACCTTATTTTTACTTTAAAAGATGTAGCAAACACAACTTAGGTCTAATGATTTGAAGATTTGTGTAATAAGATATTTAAAAATATTTTTCATAGAGGACATTCTACACTTCTTTTTAGAATTTCAGGTATTTATCTCAGAATTGTTACCTACCACTGGCAGCATTTAAGATATTTACAACTTCAATCCTATCAAAGTAGATCATCACTCCACCACTAGGAAATAAAATGAAATAGGTAGGTATTAATTAAATGTTCCAGTAAATTGTCTGTGAAAATTCACAGGAAGCAACTAATGTGCAAACACTTTTCATATTTTTTGTTACAAATGTTTGTTAATCTTCAAGTACATGTAAAAATTCATACAGTTAATTCTAAGAGCTTTGATCCCCCTATTACAGTCCCAAAATAGAAATTTCTAAACATAAGAGTAGTTACGAATTTATAACACTCCCTTACATACCAATTTTCATAATAATAGTCAGTCCTACCTTGAGAATACCCAAATTTCATATGACTACATAAAGAGGCTCAATTTTTAAACATTTGAATTTAGATTTCTGTCTTTTAATAGCTTCTTAGACGTTAATATCAATTTTCAAGTAAACTGGTTCAGATAAACCTGAAAGCTCCCAAATCTCCTTGTCCCTCATGTTTCTGGTCTTCCTCATGACATTTCTAAAAAAAGTTTTTCGTTGAGTATATTATGTAAGGATCAAAAGTCTATGTGAAAAAGTATGAGTCATTCTGTCAAAAAATATGGTAGTAGTTTAAAAATCAAGTAAACATAGAAACAAACATAGGTACAATTCAGAATAATTACATACTGCAGATGTTAAAGTACACAAAAACTGTGTGTAATCAAAGCTTTCTATCTTATCGTAATTCTATTTAATATTGTAGTATATTTTTGCATTCAAACTTTGTACTAATTGCTGCATAGTTTGTCCTTCTGATGACCAATTAAACTGTTTTTCATAAACTTGTAAGTTAGATTAACTTGTTACCACTCATACATACTTTTCTTTGATAATTTTCTTAATCTATCATACATGTTATTACCATTGGGCCTGATTTTATTTTTTTTTGTAAGAAAAGAATATTTGCCAAGTCAGAATTTTTTCTTCAAATATAACGTAGATATTCTAAGAAAGCTTAACACTCACAGTAAATTTTACAACATTCCAAATATTTGTTAATTTTCAAACAAAACTTTTCAGTTTAAGAAAGCTTAACACTCAAGGTAAATTCTACAAAATTCCAGATATTTGTTAATTTTCAAACAAAACTTTTCAGTTTAATGACTGAAGTGTAAATTCTATCTATGGTGTTAATTTGGAATTTATTAAAATCAATTCACATGTATAACCTGACACCTAATACAAAATGTTTATAATTTCATGAAATAACTAATTTACCTTGTACCACAGGGCACATTCTTTACCTCATCTGTCTGAAGAGTCACCTGCAAAATTACAAATAGAAAAATAAATAACAATAATAAATATACAGATCCTATAATGTGTAAAATAATTTTTTTTTTAAATGTTTAAGATAAAACTGAGGTCACACAATAAACACTATATTTCAACAATTACTAATATTAATTGTGAAAAAAGATATTGTTTTTTGATCAATTTCTAAGAATATTTCCTACAAGAGTGTCACTTTCAAATCACTGAAATTCAAATTTCATATGGCAACCCTCGGTAACTGTGTTTATGGACTTCCACTATTATCTTCAAGTAGGCTATTTCTTTTGTTTCAAAATCTGAAAGGTATAAAAAAATGATTTTCATGCTTCTTGGTATTTCATAGATCAGCAATTCCCAGCCTTTATCATTCCATGGACTCACAAAAGCTTTGTGAAAAGCTTATATACCATTAAGAGTACAGGATATACTCTTATATATATATATATATATACTCTATAAATATGTATTTATTTATTCATTCATAATACTTTTATTATCAGTATTGATATTTTTTCACTGGATGTTTCTGTGGACCAATGGATGGGAGCCATTGTAATAAAACAATCACTCTTGAAAAAACCAAATTCAGAAAGTGAAGGGTTTTATTTGTTGTATAACTTCACCCAAAAATCTTCAACAGCTGAAGAAAACTTGGTGTAAAATAGTGCCACCACAAGGCAAACTGATAAAGTTTGATGAACCAAAGTATTATACAGGAAGGTTATAACACATAGAAATGACTTCATGATGTCAGAATAACACGTAGGTTCAAAAAATCAATTTAATGCCAACATGCAATACCCTATATTCCAAGTGCTTTCAAAAGATGGACCTTTCTTTATCAGGGTCAAACTGCAATGGATAATAACACAAATACACGATGAAGCAAAAGACTGGGTGTTATTAACCTAACAAAAATGTGTGGAGATGATTCTGTTGAGTAGATACAGCACAATTTTTTTGTTTCTACACCATTATATTTTCTTTTGGGAACACATTAAACACTTTGTGTTTGTCATATGTCCAAATAGCATGGAAGTTTTAAAGTAAAGAGTTACTACAGCTTGTACAGCCATAATGCAGCAAATGCTATAAAACATCAGTCACAGCCTGAACTGAACAATAAAACTATGCTATGATATTAACCATGGACATTTCAAATAGCTATAAGAACTAGATCTTGTAAAATTCATGGTAGCATGCCATTCAACATCATCCTCTATATCATAACACCAGACTGAAGATATGTTCTCATTTTGATCTTGGAGTCATGCAGAATGCATGAAACACAAAGCAATTAATATCTTGCAGAATTACTTAAATCCATAATACTCAGGGGGTAATATCATAAAATATGGATTAAATACATAATAATAATAATAAGTGATCAATATTGTGCAAAATAACATAAAATAACAATTAGGTGTCCATATCATGCAGTGTGTCTTGAACTCATAACAATCAAACATCAATTTCATACAGAATGCATTAAGTACAAAAAGTAGGTAACCAAGAACATAAGGATACATTAAACATAAAACTCAGGTATGAATATTAACTGTTAAACATACAGTTGTGTTAATTCAATGCACCTGTCATATGGTTTTATTGCATTTAAAAAAAAAACTAGTGGATAAAATAGCTTGAAACTCAGGATGAACCCTCTAAATATTGTGTCTCTTTAAAATAAAATATCTTATTTTTATATGTGATATTTGCATGATTTTATGCAACTTTAAATGGCAAAAATATTCCACTGTGATGTTTTTTTAAGAAACAATTAAAAACACTTACCTTCATTATAGATTCTAATTACTAATTTTTATGTCCTCCTACATTCTCTAAAAATTTCTAATAAATGATATACACATATAGGACATAATGACACCAGAATACAATAAAAATAATTTATTACCCTTCCAAAATTATAAATTAAAAATAAACCAAATTCTTTCTATTGGTGATCAGAAGGTTTCATTTAATGTACATAATAACTTTTTAAAACCACACGACATGGGCCACTTTCTTGTTGCAATGATCAATACATTCCTTGAAGAAGAAATGAGCCTTCTCATGCACTTAACTTAAATTGAGTACATATAGGATGCTCTTGAGAGAGACAATACAGAACATGTAGTGGCTCTAGACATAAAAGATGCCATAAACACAGTTGTTTTCAAAGAAGCGGGCAATAGTAACTCAGGACCTAGTGAGCAGTTAATCTTGATTTTTTTTATACTAAAGATAGTAATGCACTTAATAATTTTTATTTAATTAAATAATACACCAAAGAATATAGACTAATAACATGCAAAAAGTAGACAAATTCCCTTACCTCTCGAAATTTTTCTGGCTTTCTAACTATGCAACAAAACTCATTACAAATTCATCCAAGCTAGTCATTAACATTCTCACAGGAATGATGTTGGTGATCTGAGTGAAACTGACATTTAACCATTCAGAACATAATGTTATACAATACGTCATTTGATAGATGAACATCTTGACTTTCTATTGGTTATAGGTAATATATAATTAAACGTAAGAAAGAACTATTAACGAATTCTGAAAGAGAGAATGTGATAAGTAGGTGTGGCAGGAGTGGTCTGATTTTCTATTTAATAGCTCTGTAACCAAACAAAATTGAAGACTAAAAATTATGGTTTGTTTGATCAATGATGATTTTATGGAGTGTAATTTACATTTAATTTCATACTTTTTTGAGGAGTTATGGATAAAATAGGGAAGATGATATGCTAAAAGAAAATGTGTTATGTGAGTCACACTAGGGGAAACTCTGGATTTTTTAAATTATTGCCTTGTAGAATTAAGAACTTAAAACTTATATACTACTAAAATATAGATTATTAGCTGAGATTTTATGCTATTCTAATTGGGATAACATAAACAAAAAGTAGTTTAATAAAATTTTGAATGTAAGACACTAAAACCTTGTATCATGCACATTAAAATATACCTGTGGCAATAGGGTTAACCACATTATGATTCAGGAAGTGGCTTGAAGAAAGCATTAAATGTAATATAAGTGATCAATAAGCAGAATACATTAGAAACCTAATACTCAGGGGTCATTGTTAAGCAGAAATGTAATCTGTAAACAGATGAGTCCCTGTATATGTGTGTGTGTATATATATATATATATATATATATATATATATATA